ACAACCACTGTATATGCAAATCCTAACGCCCAACAATGCAAACCATGCGACTTACTACGACGAGCTAGAGATAAAAGCTCTGCAGTCAAAACACACGAGCGCTGGAGTCTATGCAAATTTATGAACATTTTCTAATCTGCGCTAAGCTGCGTGTACACCTTTCATTATTTCGTGCCTGGGCTCTGGGATTTGCCTCTCTGTTAATTAGCCAAAGATACTTAGATACTTTAATATGTTTTATCTGCTGTTGCGTTAACAGCGTCTAGACGTTTTAAGGTTTTTTTAATTGGGATTTTACAGAGTCGTTTTTAAGGGGTTTATAAGTGAGTTCTACAGGCTAATTAAGATTCCAATTTCTTTTGGTAAAAATAAGATCTTTTAGTCTTGTATTCCTCAAAAGGATTCGAGGGTGTATCGTGTCCTTTAATGTTTAAATGTTAATTAACTCCACGACACAGCTTTCCAGAATGAAAATATTACTTCTACCTAATTTTTCGTGATATTTTCATAACTTCCCTCAATCTTTCCGCACCTGATGAATGACAAAAAACGAAAGACGCGAAATTGAGTAATGTCGGCTGCCCTATATCAGTAAGAGACTACATTCCGAAAGGCAAGACATAAATTATTAGAGGGGGAAAAAGCGAAATCCTTCCAGAAGAACAACTCAATATTATTATCGGGATTCGTCTATATATCCATCAGTCAATATCCTCGTAAGCCGAAAATAAATCGCAGACAGGGAGTCCAATAAAAATGAATGTATTCTTTTACTGTGAAAAATACGTAGTGAATGTTTAATTTGATGAAAATTGTGGATTTAGGGAAATGAAAACATCAACGATTTTATTTTGGAGAACATAAAAAAAAGAAATTTATATTAATACCTATCTTGCTCATTTTGGTCTAGAATGACACCAGATTAAGTGCGGGATATATTAGCTAGATAAAAAGTGGACTGTAGTTTTTTAAGTCTTTCCTGGTAATTTCTGGAATGGCGTATGATAATTTACTTTTAACACTTTTATTTATATGGAAGTTCAAATCTTAGAAATTTGCCTGCAGAAAATCCTTATTCTGAAAGAATAAAAACAAAATTACTTTGGTTTATCCCCGGAAAGCAACTTCTAGCATTATAACAACGATTCCATCGTACTTCGATAGTAAAAATTTTCATTGTAGACTTTTCCTTTCGTCCTTTATAAACCGAAATCCCTACGAAGCAATGAATTTTTATGAGAATTTTATCAATTCAACCGACTTGTTCATACAAACTCCAGCTAGATTGGCGTAAATATTTAGCCAGTAGCCGCTCTATAGATATAGAAAGTTTGCACAAACTCCAGCAGATACACTTTAAAATGGAGTTATCTCGTGGAAATTCGAGTCTCGTTTTCGAAGCGTTTGCCTTGTCGGAGTTGTATCTCCAGCTTATTGACAGGGTTTCTATGCCTGTAAGAAACATCCAAAAAATTTATATTAGACGGAAACTAGATACTGGAAGTGAAACGGACTAAAATAGAATTTAAATTGGGTACACGAAGTTTCTGCATCAATTTAAAAGAAAATTATTTAGTAAGTTTTGTTTTTATAAAACTTTTTGTACTCGTAATAACATTTTATACAAAATAGACGAGCTATTTAAACTTTTTTTTAAACGTTCTTGTGGATTAAAATTAATTAATTTACATATTATATTCATTAACATATAATTTTTGAGAAAGGAATACCAATAAATCGATTAAATACCACTCGAAATAACATTACTCAAACGTTTTATAAAATTAAGTTAAAATTAAACAAATTTACCATTTATTGTATTAATAAATTATGCTTGGCGACTTAAAGATGGCGCCATTTGACTTATAAGTGAGGAAAACCCCAACCACTATCATATATACGGTACAGCATGGCGATTTTTATAATCTGGATGTCATAACAATAGAAATTGAATTATTGCTAATACGACATGCATCAAATCCTATAGCAAATAAATTACCGAGGTCCTTCTTATAGGGGCACTTAATGATCCTTATATGCCTTTAATAAATTTAAAAAAGAAAACGTTGATTTATGGGGTTTCCTGTTATATATTTGAAAAATACTTTTCCTATAGTCTAAAGTTTTGTAAAAAAAATTGTATTTTTAAGAAAGCATTGGTCCTAATACCGTGCCTTGAGGAACACCACATGTAACTGTTGCCTATTTACTAATATGTCGATTTGCTTTGACTTTTTGTTTTCCATTTAATAAATGACTTTTAAACACCCCCTACATCTTCTAGAGGGGTAAGAAGAAGCTTGTGATCAACGGTATCGAATGCCTTGGTTAAATCAACGAACACACCCGTGCCTGAGACACCTACGCTAAGGTATGAAAGTTTTAATTTAATTATAGAAGAAGTTTCAAGCAACTTCTGAAGAGAAACATACCTATTTGGTAACTCATTTAACTATATAGAAAGCAGCTGATTTTTTACAAACCCCAGACTAGAAAAATATTCATATATCATATCACAGGCTAATATTTGTATTGCTTGTATTACCATCTAAATTATTTTATAAAATAAATACGAAAAGGTGGAAATTTCATGCACTTTTATGCAATTTTTTACAATTTTATGTAATTTTATGTAATTTTATGTAATTTTATGTAATTTTATGTAATTTTATGTAATTTTATGTAATTTTATGTAATTTTATGTAATTTTATGTAATTTTATGTAATTTTATGTAATTTTATGTAATTTTATGTAATTTTATGTAATTTTATGTAATTTTATGTAATTTTATGTAATTTTATGTAATTTTATGTAATTTTATGTAATTTTATGTAATTTTATGTAATTTTATGTAATTTTATGTAATTTTATGTAATTTTATGTAATTTTATGTAATTTTATGTAATTTTATGTAATTTTATGTAATTTTATGTAATTTTATGTAATTTTATGTAATTTTATGTAATTTTATGTAATTTTATGTAATTTTATGTAATTTTATGTAATTTTATGTAATTTTATGTAATTTTATGTAATTTTATGTAATTTTATGTAATTTTATGTAATTTTATGTAATTTTATGTAATTTTATGTAATTTTATGTAATTTTATGTAATTTTATGCAATTTTTTTAAAAAATTTATGCAATTCTATCTAATTGTATGCAATTCTATGCAATTGTATGCAATTATATGCAATTTTATTCTGTCTTATTCAATTTTATGCATTTTATGCAAATTTTAACAATGCAATGCATTTTTATGATATTTTATGCAATTCTATGCAATTTTATGATACTTTATGTAATTTAATGCGTTTTTTTAACCGACTTAGGAGGTTTTTGTATATGGAAAGCAGCTGGTTTTTTTACAAACGAGAGACCAGAAAAATATCCATATATCTATTTATCATCTAAACTATTATATAAAATATTAACAAAAAGGTGGAAATTTCATGAAATTTTGTGGAATTTTATGCAATTCTATGCAATTTTATGCATTTTTATGCAATTTTATTAAATTTTATGCAATTCTATAAAATTTTATGCAGTTCTATGCAACTTTATTCAATTTTATGCAATTTTATTCAGTTTTATTCAATTTTATGCAAATTTTTATGCAATTTTATGCAAATTTCTACAATGCAATGCATTTTTATGATATTTTATGCAATTTCATGCGATTTTATGCAATTTTATGATACTTTATGTAATTTAATGCCTTTTTTAACAGATTTTAAAAGGAGGAGGTTTTTGTACATGGAAAGCAGCTGATTTTTTTACAAACCAGAGACTAGAAAAATATCCATATATCATATAGACTAATCTCTGTATTGCTTGTTTTATCATCTAAACTATTACATAAAATAATCACGAAAAATTGTGCAATTTTATGCAATCTTATTCAATTTTATGCAATTTTATTAAATTTTAGGCAATTTTATTCAATTTTATGCAATTTCATTTAATTTTACACAATTTTATGCAATTCTAGAAAATTATATGTAATTCTATGCAATTCTAGGAAATTCTATGCAATTTTATGCAAATTTTTACATTGTATTACATTTTTATGATATTTTATGCAATTTCATGCGACTCTATGCAATATTACAAAATTTTATGCAATTTTATTTAATTTTCTTTAATTTTATGTAATTTTTTTTATGTATGTTCAGCGATAATTCTTTAACACGGTGTCCGATTTCAATAATACTTATTTTGTTAGAAAGGGGGTACTTAAGGGGTGGTCCCATATAAATTAGGCAAAAATCTAATAATTGGTTTCATTAGAAAATCCTCAAACTCTTTATTTTTTTTGTATATTCAGCGGTAATAATTCTATTTCTACGATTATTTTTTTGTTTGTAAGGGGGTACCTCAGGGGGGTCCCCCATAAATTTGGTCAAGATTTTAAAGTCGGTTTTTTAAAATTACTTTTATATTCAGTTTTATGTGTGTTCACTGTGCAAATGAACCAATGTAGAAGCCGCCTCTGGAAATATGCAATATTTCATGCCCTCTGAACGCTTCTCCTGCATCCGCCTTGGCGTACACGCCAACCAAACTAAAAAGATCCATTTACTTACATTTGCAATGATAAAATATGTGTGTGCAATGGAATACTTCGTATCCACGTAAAACTCGCACACGTTCGATATGATATTCGATAATATTCCCAAGCATATTTTTTTATGACTAAATGAATCAAATATATATCTCTAGACCGATCTTAATCTATTTTCTAGCGAAATTCGATGATTTGATCTCATTACAACCCATTCGAACGTACACGAGCAAAGCGAACAAAGTGATTGAATAGATGGGACATAAACCAGGGACCGTCTTTTGGTAATGTGTCTGGGATATGTCTGTAAAAAGGTGAGTGGCCCCAGAACTGTCCTGGAAACTGGAAACGACCATCTTTTTCATCGTTCGCCACATTGCCACCGCTATTCGGGGACCACGACCCGCGAAAAATATGGAAAATTTTATACTTACAGTTCCTCTAGGTGAGTGTAACGGCCCAAAGAATTCTCGTCTATTGTCGTGATGTTGTTACTGGTGAGGTCTCTGAAAATTAAAATAGAAATTATCAGTCGCGAAATATATTCAGAAATAATTATAAAAAACGTCTAATACACTTCCAGTTTAAAGCTGTTTTTAACTAAAAATTGTTTTTATTCTCTAGACGAATATCAAGGGTGGCTCCAGGGGGGGGGGGGGGGTGAACTGGGGGCCATGCTCCCCCCAAGAAGAAATTTCTTACGATTTATGAGCCTTTTATTCAATAAAATATGCTAAAAAGGTAGTATCTAAAGGCAATGCAGGCCTGAATTACTCATTACCAATTGTTGGGTCGCGTGATTCACATTGTTCAGACCGACTACATTCCAGCGGTTATAAAAACATGGGTAAAAACTATCGAAAAAAACGCAAATCGTCCCAGAAATACGATAAATTAAAGAAGAAATGAAGAAAAAAATACAAAAACAGTTACTACATGAAAATAATTCCCCTATACAGGGAGTTTCCAAAGTAATCTGAAATATTGTGGGCGATTCTTTGTTCAATTTTGAGATGAAAAGCTCCTATAAACATGTGTGATAGGTTCTGTCGTTTATGAGATACAAGATGTTGACTTTTTTATTATTTTAATGGAAGCTATATGTTTTCCTATTGACTTTCTCCTTCTTCATTCTTCATCCGTCCTTCATAATTCCTCATTCTTTATTCATCATTCCTCCTTCCACCTTTGTAGCCAATTACAAATAGCAAATAAAAACCCGACATATCTTATTTTGTAGTCAGATAAGAGACTACTATTACCACACTTAAATATCAACTGAATATTATTTAACCCTGTATAAAATATTTAACTTTAATCATCCCAAAATGCCTTCTTTAGTTCTATTCTGCTCCATTTTAATAGAAGGACCGATTACACCCATAAATCTTTCCCGAAATTAGTGACTTTTTTTCGTTTCGGATGGGTGTCGTTTCATTTAAAAAGTAGGACGAACTGCGCAAAATAATACCAACTAAAGCTGCAAGAGCTTAGCAAATCCTTTTAAAATTGCCTCGATATTCTCCGATGTCGAGAGAAACGGTTGACTTTTTTTTATCAGAAATGCACGAAAAAATATTCATTTTAGCCGAATAATTCATCGCGATGACGTGACGGTTTGATGGAAAAGATGAATTAAAAAGGCGGGCGTTTATAATTTAGAAATGAATTATATTTTGAATGACTGTTTTTTTCTCTCACATTCAAAATTCAATTTTGAATGTATTACTTACTGTATAAATGCTTTGAAAATTACCTAATACATATTCAAAATTACCCATAGGGGCGTAGAACCAAATAAAAACTAATTGGTTGAGTTTCTTGCATTATTTTTAACATGAATCTTTGGTTTAAGACATTTCCAGTGTGTGCAGAATATGACTCGAAAACAGTTGTTAATAAAAAGGAAAGTAATTCATTTTTCATTTTAAGTAAAGGGAGTTTTTGCATCGCTTTTTTTTCGGATAGGATAAATTGAAGCAAGCAAAATAATTAGTATTAAAATAATTTCAAAATAGTTTTAAGTTTAAGTTTAAGTACTACAATAATAGTAATTAATGTTAGAAACTAATCAACCGATTTAAGATCCTGAAGGTGGTTCCATTTTTCTCTTTTAATTTTACATTGGCTTTTTAAAAGTTGTGGGTAGTCATTTATTGGGTCCAAAATCTGTGGTTTTCCAAGGAACACTACGATTTATTTTACTTTAAATGTCAAATAATTTTATAACCTCACTCTATGTATGAAATGTAGTTTCTACGATCAATTTTATTGAAGAACTATATTCTAATTGTCGCTTTTTGAAGATTTATTCATTCTTTCTCAATTATTATTATTATTACAAATGCATTGCAACTTTCACTAAATTATTTCTCCCGAAAAATTCAATGTGTACACAAATAAAGTAAGTCTGTCGTAATAATTACATACCGCACTTTTTATTAAACTTAATTCGCATCTGGGCTACCTGTAATTATTTCCACTTAAGGCAATTTATATATATTTTAGTCAATTTTGTTTTTGCCTGCCTGCCTGGATAAAAGTAAACCGATTCGACGGGTTTCGGAGTGCAGAAAATCGCAAGTAATTGACGTAATTATTATTCCCTCCTCGATGAGGAATTTACATGACATTTCGGACAGATTCGTTAGTCCAGTCGATAGGGAACCATCATGGTCCAAAGTTTCGCAATAACGAAATTGGTTACAGAAAATAGAAATATACAGAATTTTTAAATAAGTAGTTTAAAAGCTCTGTAAAGCTCATTTTAAGTTGCGGAAATTCGTTATATTTAATCTGTGCCACAGGTCTGAGTAATTAGAAACTAATGCACTGTCTTATTTATTTATCGATTTGGGATTTGAAATTAAGTTACGTTAGGTCTTTAGTAGAAACACTTAATTACATACTGACCTAACCCACTCATTTTCAAACATTACGATTGCATTGCACATATTATTAACCATTCCTGATGATGATATAAAATAATTCAAACATCGTAATCAAAATCCAATTGCAGAACTAAAATCTACATAAAAAGTTACTTCAAAAAAGTTTGTACAGATTGACAAAATAGTAAACAATAAAAAAGCTACAGCATAATTTAGAAAATGCAACTTTTTGTTATTTTTAAAATATCAATAGATAGACAAAGCCACTACGGGCTCACATAGGGAATTTAATGTATAAGAGTGAGAGGTACAAATTCAGTAGGCAATAGTGAGACAGAGTGAGGGGAAACGGGGGAGTGGGGGAAATTAAATCTCTTTTAACATTGAAGAGAAAAATTATGCGATTGCCAAAAGGACCTTAGCGTGTATCTTTATTGCTATTGGTCCAATTCAAACGGGAAAAACGGCATTGTGTAGAGAACGTAGTATAGATGAAGGTTGAAGAAAAAAATCGACGTTTTATTTGACGTTTGACGTTTTCGTTTAACGTTTTCATTTAACGTTTTCGTTTGACGTTTCGCATGACGTTTCTAACTAAACTAACTACTACTACAGCCAGGTTGGTCGAGCAGTCTAACGTAAGTCCATCCTTCGAATAGTCAGTATTGAGATGTATAGCGAAGAGAATAGACGTAGAATTGAAAAGTTTGGTGTTAAAGTTAGAAAACTAAATAGAGACATAAAATTATATAAAGATAAAAAACAAGTTTTAAGAGATTTGACAAATTTAAGTCTTTGGGATAAAGTCTTTGAGAGATATCATTATAATCAGTATCTACTTAGGAGAATACAACCGATGCAAATATGACCATCTTAAAGGCTAATTTCATTATACTTACTGCCATATTAAACAACGTGCTGTATACAAACGTGCCGAGTGCCGTACAACAGATGGCGATACGTTTTGACAATCAAACAGAATGGCGAAAGATGAATTACTTGGTAATAAATAATATGAAGCTAAATACGTTTTCCATAGCAATCGATGAAGCAAAGAGATATAAATTAAAATTGATTTTAAATGATGCGACTGAAGGAGAACTAAAAAAAATTGGCAGGCTGTTACGACTCCACCACCACCGATCGATTTGAGTGACATGCCAGAGCCTGAATATTCTAAATTATATATAGTTAGTTGTATAACATCATCTACTTTGTTTATAATATTAAAAATCTGATGTGTCCAATACATGACTTTCCTATCTAGTTATTATAGGCTTTTTCCAGTTATTCTGTACAACCTATTGCAGCACCTCTATAAATGTTTAGAGGATAATCTAAATATTACATTTTTTTATAGATATTCATTGTAAACGAAAATACTGAAAAATTTAAATTTAACACTTTTCCTACAATTTTTTCATTACGGTCCATTTTAGAAAAATCATGTATAAACAAAAATTATAGAGATTGATAACGCAAACAACTTTTAGTTCAATAATTTTCATAAAAATCAGAATTTTGCACATTTTGTCAAATTTCTCGAATACGGACCATTTCAGGAAATTTTTACATAAAGCAAAAATTATAGATAATAATATTAGAAGTAACTTTTATTTGAACAATTTTCTTCTCTTAAGTTTAAAATTTAATGTTTTTTTCTTTATCCGTTTTTGAGTTTTCTTTAAAATTCAAAATTTACACATTTTCTCAAATATCTTGAATATGGTCCATTTTAGAGAAATTATGTATAGAATAAAAATTATATTACAAACAACTTTTATTTGAACAATTTTTATAAAAAAATATTTTTTTTTACATTTTGTCAAATTTCTTGAATACGGACCATTTTAGGAAAATTTTGTATAGAACAAAAATTATAGATAATAATATTAGAAGTAACTTTTATTTGAAGAATTTTCTTCTCCAAACGTAAATAACAGATATATTCCATAAAATATAAAAATGACCACCTATAAAGTACCCCCCCCAGATGTTCCGACTCTGCCAAAAATCCAATCTGTTTATTGGGCGCTGGAATAAAGCTTAAGTTTAAAATTTGGTGTTTTTCTGTGTATCGGTTCATGAGTTATGGTGGATACATACACACACACACAGACATCATCGCGAAAATAGTCAAAACGGATTCAGGGGACCTCAAAACGTAAAAATCCATCGAAAACTCGAGGTCGAAAAAATCATGATTCCTATACTTTCCTTGTATCTGTATACAGATAGAAAAGTAAAAATTATTGTAAAAATTATAAATAAAAAATTTTACTCTTCTTGTAAAACAAAAGTAAATATTTAAAATTGATAAGGTATCTTTAATTAAAAAAACAACAATTTTATTATATATTATATTTATTAATAACAAAAAATTACAATGGTAATATAGTATTAAGAAACCAGTGACGTAGACATTCGATGTTCTTCTGGGTACATTTAAATGATCCATTGGCGTGGTACATGCACGTTTTGGAGTCACTACTGAATTTTTCTGTTGCACACGGTGTTCCATCGAACTTGCATACATCTACTATTATAGAAAATATTCCAAACACGTGACATTTTTTTAGTAAAAATTCAGCTTTTTCACTTCCTCGTATGTAAAT